CCCCCGCCATAATATGAGAGTCCTGTTAATGCAGGTAAAGACTTCTACAAAAGTAGTCATAGACAGTATATAGCAAATGGGCATAGTTGTCTGTTACAAATTCACTTTTAAAACTTTATTTATAAATAAACAGACAAGCAGACTGGATTTAGCCTAAGGTCTATAATTAGCCAATTGACTTACATCATAAAAGACTAGTAATAATACAACATGATCGGGCAGTTGTCCTCCTCAAGTCATAGTAGTCTAAAGAGCAGTGGACTAGGAGGCAGAAGATTAATTCAAATAGTAGTTCTGTTACTTGTTTTTAGAAAGGGCAAGTTATTCAACTACTCTGAATTTTAGTTTCTTCATCCATAAAAATAAGCATTTGTTCCAGAGAGCCTTATGGTCAGTTATAAAATTAGATTAAAATTTGAAGCATTGTCATTTCATAATCCTTTTTTCTATTTTTAATTTTTTCTTTTATCCTATGTAGGTGCTTTTTACCTTGTATTTGAGTATATGGACCATGACCTAATGGGATTGCTAGAATCTGGTTTGGTGCACTTTTCTGAGGATCATATCAAGTCATTCATGAAGCAGCTAATGGAAGGATTGGATTACTGTCATAAAAAGAATTTCCTGCATCGGGATATTAAGTGTTCTAACATTTTGCTGAACAACAGGTAATATAGTAAAACTAAATAAAGTTAAGCATTTTCTCTCTTCTGAGCCCCTTAGTTTCAGTTAGTTAACTGGAATTATAGGTAGACCAAATAATACAGGTATTTAAATACATATCTGGTGTTAGTACTTTAGGAACAACTTATGATAAGGGTGTCCTGATCAGTAGTCTCCAGACTCGGTGTTGATAAGGAGTTAACAGAGGTAGGATTGTAAATTGCAAACATTTTAGGGGATCAACTCATATCCTATAGGAATATTCAGAGAGCTTTTTCCATAGTTAGTAAATAATATTGTTGTGGTCCTAGGCAAATTCCAACAGACATTGAATTCTTAGTGAAATTCTCCCTTGTTTAGTGGGAAGAAACGTGCCTGCTGGTTTAGGTGCTCTTGAGACTTTCTCAGTTACCAAGTTTCAGAGTAAACACAGATGTATAATTGGTGATTGACCTTTCTGACCAGCACTTTCATGTTTTAACTGTAGACAGACAATTTAGTGAGGAACAGCGCTAATTCTTCAGAAGTTTTTATCTGCTTTCTTCCTCTCTGGCTAATTGCCTAAACTTCATTGGTAATATCAGATGTATTATGCACAGTAGTCTTTGGTGATAGCCCTATCGAGGAATAAAAAGCAAGTTTGGTACTATTGAAATCAGACCAATGTTTGGTTCTTTAGGAACTAGGCTCTTTATAGCCATCTTTGTCTGATTCACCCATTGTTTTAAATATTTCTGTTCAATTAATATTTGACAAACATTACCTAGATAGGAATATGTGATGATTATGACATACTTTTTTGTCTTTGTGGAGTGGGGTGGCCAACCATCCAGGATTACCCAGGACTGTCCTGGTTTTAGTACTGAAAGTCGTGCATGGGGTAGGTGGTTGGTCACTAGAGAACTCTGAGTTTAGTATGGGAGTTAAAGAAATAAATTGATCAGTTCAGTAAACATTTATTTTTTACTTATTTTTTAATGCATCTTTTATTGATTTCAGAGAGAGGAAGGGAGAGAGAGAGAGAGAGATAGAAACATCAATGATGAGAGAATCACTGATCACCTGCCTCCTGTACGCGCCTGCTTGGGATCAAGCCCACAACCCGGGCATATGCCCTGACTGGGAATTGAACCTCGATTTCCTGGATCCTAGGTTGATTTTCAACCGCTGAGCCATGCCCGGCCAGGCAGTAAACATTTATTAAGCCCATTTTTTTCCTTGAATTTGGAAGCATCTGGGAAGATGCAGTCTAGAGGAATGAATAGGAATTTATCGGAAAGACTGACAACAGAAGGATGAGTTTCTAGGCAAAAGAAATTGCATGGAGAAAAGTGCATAAATGTGAAAATAACATAGCATGTCTGGAAAACTAAAATGTCAGTGTTGCTAGTGCAAGAAGGGTAAAGCTGGACAGTTGCAAGAACCAATTTAAGGATCTTGTATAAGTCACTAAGGAGGTTAAACTTCATAGGTGACAGCCACTGAAGGATGTTGGTTCAGTTAATTCTTTGTTTTTAAATTACATAATTAAAGCATTATTTTAAATTTAAAAAATATGTAAGCTGTATATATTTGTCCTTAAATATCTTTATGAGACAAAACATGGTGTTAAGAGATTATTTCTTTTTGTTGCTATCTCCATGACCCACAATTCTCATTAATGCTGGACTTGGTTATTCTACATATGTAGTAGTAATGCTTCAAGAACTTGATGACGGCTATCCTCTTGTAGCTTTCTGGACTATAGTATTATCATACTTTCTTCTTTTCCTTTTGCTTCTCCATGGAGGATGTTTCAGGCCAGGGAATAACTGCAGTCCTGCTCGGTGTCCTTTCTGGTTGATGGGTCAGGCCCCTTCCTGTTCCTGCATTGCCACATTCAGGAAATTCAGGAAGCTAAGCGGGATGTAGGAGTCTCAGGGTCTAGTCTGATCCATCTAGCTTTTGCTCTTGTCCATTTAATTCTGTCTAGACAGAGACTTCTGGGTGAGGTGACTTGGAGATAATGGTAAGGGGTCCTCAGCTGGACAAGAAAGAGAAAGCAGTTGATGAGAGAGGGAGGAGAGCAGGGCTAATAGGTCATGTGGGAGTTCCACACTAGCAATATACCTAGATTCAGGAGTTACCAAGCATGGAAAAGATGTTAGAAGATGGAACCTAAGGGAATGGTCAGAGAAAGAGGAAGAATATAAAGACTATCATGAATGCAAAATAGGCAAGTTTCATAAGTGAGTGGTCATACATGTCAGATGATGTAGGCAGATTATAAAACAAGAATATGAAAATTAAAAGGTCAGTGGTGACAGTGTGGTGTAAATGGGTGAGTAGCAGTTAATAGAAAGGTGACAGGTGTGTCTTTAATTTTTAAGTTTTATTTAAGAATGCAGAGGTTTGAGCATATTTAAGTGCTAATGGAAAAGACAATCAAGAAGTTGAAGATTCAGTAAAGATCCAAAACAATTTAAAAGAGTGATGTTTTAGAGGAGATGGGAATCAAGGTCACAGGTGGTAGTAGCCACAAGTGTAGGTGTTGATTATCCTTGAACAAGAGATTCACATACTTGTTCTGTAATTGAAGGAAAAGAATGAAGGAAAGTTATAGATGCAAAAAGTTTATAGGTAACCTGATTCCTGTTTTCAGTGAAGGTCATTTACTGACAGTGAGTGGGGAAGAGGGTGGATTAGGATAAATGCTAGGCGCTGGTGATATTTAGGTCTAGCCTATTTTTCCATAACTATGCCTATTGCCATTTTAACTTTCAGTCTACTATGTGCCTTGAGTCATGGATCATCTCAGGCTGTCAGAGCAAGGATGCCAAGAAATTTGAGGAACCTGTTTTTTTGTCTCAATATAAAGCTCAAGTCAACTATTCCTTTCCGTTTTGCTTTTCTCAGAATTTGAGTATAAGTTGAACTTTATTTTTCTTCTTCTTATTATTTTAAATATATCTTTATTGATTTCAGAGAGAGGAAAGGAGAGGGAGAGAGAGAGATAGAAACATCAATGATGAGAGAGTCATTGGTTGAGCCTGCAACCCGGGCATGTGCCCTGACCGGGAATCGATCCCTGATTGCCTGGATCCTAGGTCAATGCTCAACCGCTGAGCCATGCCCGGCCGGGCTATAAGTTGAACTTTAAAATATAATTATGTTTGGAGCAAGTAGGTAAGATGCCCATAATCTTCACTAGGAATGATTAGAGCTGATTTAATGTATACTTTTGTTGTTTCAGGCATACTTCGGAGATATTACTAGTTTGGTACCAGACCACAATAAAGCAAATATCGCAATAAAGCGAGTCATAAGAATTTTCTGGTTTCCCAGTGCATGTAAAAGTTATGTTTACACTACACCTGTAGTCTCTTGAGAGTGCAATATGTTTAAAAAATGTACATACCTGAATTTTAAAAGTACATTTTTTTTTTAATGTTTTTATTGATTTCAGAGAGAGGAAGGGAGAAGGAGAAACATCAATGATGAGAGAGTTATTGATTGGCTGCCTCCTGCATGCCCCCAGCTGGGGATCGAGTCTGTAACCCGGGCTTGTGCCCTGACTGGGAATTAAACCTCTATCTCCTGGATCATAGATCAATGCTCAACCACTGAGTCACACTGGGCAGGCTGAAAATACTTTGTTACTAAAAAATGCTAGCTATCATCTGAGCCTTCAGTGAGTCCTAATTTTTTTTGCTGTTGGAAGGTCTTGCTTCTATGTTGACAAAAGCACAATAAAGCAAACAGCAATAAAACATTATATGCTTGTAGGAGTTACTTTGTCTTACTGTTCTGTCCCATTGCTGATACTTTGAGGAGCACCTCATAGCATAGCCTCTTTTTCCTATCTCATCTTTCTGCCTGATCTGAGCTATCACACACCTGAGATAGCCCCAGTCCTTAAAAAAAAACAGTGAGCTGGCTGTTCATTCCCCAAGAGGTAACAAGCTGTAAATGTAAATAAATAGGCTATGTAAGAATTTAAATATGATTAATCTGAAATAATAAATGGTTTTGGAATAGTTTCCCAACATTTTGTGTTGACATTTATTAAAATATTACTTGACGTCACTATCAAAGACAAAATACTTAGCAGAGCGAAATGTGTGTGTGATCCCTTTAAGGGAGTGGTTCTCAGACAGCAGTGCTGGCATCACCTGTGGGCTTGTTAGAAATTCAGATTTTGACCCGGCCAGTGTTGCTCAGTGGTTGAGTGTCAACCTATGAACCAGGAGGCCACGGTTTGATTCCGGGTCAGGGCACATGCCCAGGTTGTGGGCTCGATCCCCAGTAGGGGGCATGCAGGAACAGCCAATCAATGACTTTCATCGTTGATGTTTCTCTCTCTCTCTCTCTTCCTTCCTCTCTCTGAAATCAATGAAAACATTAAAAAAAAAAAAAAAAATTCAAAGAAAGAAATTTTGGGGTTATGACTTACTGAATCAGCATCTGTGGCAGTNCAAAAAAAACATTAAAAAAAAAAAAAAAAATTCAAAGAAAGAAATTTTGGGGTTATGACTTACTGAATCAGCATCTGTGGCAGTGGAGCCCAGGATACTTTTAATAAACTTTCCAGGTGATTTTTTTTTTTTTTTTCATATTAAAGTTTGAGCCCCGCGAGGCATGGCTTAGTGGTTGAGCATCGACCTAGGATCCAGGAGATTGAGGTTCGATTCCCAGTCAGGGCACATGCCTGGGCTGCGGGCTCGATCCCCAATGACTCTCTCATCATTGATGTTTCTGTCTCTCTCTCTTCCTCAACTTTCCTCTCTGAAATCAATAAAGATATATTAAAAAAAAAAAAAAAGTTTGAGAATCCCTCTAAGGTCATAGTTGTATATTGTTATGGTGTAGGAAATGATGGCAATATGTTGGTAGAAGGCCTCATTCATTATAAAAAGCATTTATTCAGATCAAAGCTGTGTTCCTTGTTTGAAAAAAAAAATGTGATAGCCACAGTGTTTACTTTTTATTATGAAAAATGTCAAAGTACAAGAAAAAAAATTGAGACACTAATATAATTACATATACAATTAACATTTTATTGTACTTGCTTTTGTTTTTCTGCCTGAGTTATTTTAAAAACAAATTATGGACATCATTACATTTTAACCCTAAATACTCTAACAAAATTATTACCTATTATCTTCTAACACTCAGTCCATATATTTTTTCAGTTGTGTCAAAAATGTCTTTTGTATACCTAGTTTGTTCAAACCAGAATCAGTCAGGGATTATGAATTGGATTTAATTGTTAGACCTCTTAAATCTCTCTTATTCTAGAACAGCCATTTTCCGCCCAATAATATGTATTTAGTCTTGCAGGTTCTAGCCACTGTTGTTTGCCAAGAAATGAAGGAAATACTTAGTTGAGTCAAATCCAAAATACAGTGGTTTTCCCCCCAAAAAACACCTATGGTTTGGTAAACCCTAAGGCTTTGTAAACTGAAGTAGTCAAAAGACAACCTGGCAGAGTGACCATTGAGAGGGAAACTAGGAGCTGAGATTAAAATTAATTTTTGTAATTCCTTTAACTCCTAAATTAATGCTTGACTTTTAGGTATAATTTGGAGGTTGCTGCTGTTACTTATGAAAATAATTGTTTTTGTTTTACAGTGGGCAAATCAAACTAGCAGATTTTGGACTTGCTCGTCTCTATAACTCTGAAGAGAGGTGAGACATTTATCAAAATTACATGTGGAAAATAGGAAAGAATACTTTTTCTTCTTGGATATCCTGGTATCCTACAAGTTGTTACCACCTAGCTTATAGACAGTAAATTCTATCTAAATTCTTGGGTCAGCCTTAGACTGAAATAAATCAACCCAAATTGGAATGGAACTACTACTTTTGAACTATTAGGTTGCTACAGAGCTGTTTTGATAGTCCCATCTTCAATTAGCAACTATTTCTATTTGCATTTTATTGTACAAGTATTTTGCATCAGAAGCCATTGTAAATTTATGTCATGGTTGTTTTTCACATTTCAGTCGCCCTTATACAAACAAAGTCATTACTCTGTGGTACCGACCTCCAGAACTTCTGCTGGGAGAGGAGCGTTATACACCAGCCATAGATGTTTGGAGCTGTGGGTAAGGCTCCCTTTACTTTTTCTTTTTCTTTTCTTTTTTTCTTTTTTAAAGTCTTTATTGCTGAAAATATTACAGATATCCCTTTTTTAACCCCATTGATCCCCTCTACATCTCATCTACCTCACCCCCAGGCCTTTGCCATACCAATGTCTGTGTCCATGGGTTATGCTTATAAACATATAAGTTCTTTGATTAATTTCTCCCCACCCACTCCCCCATTCCCATCTTCCCCCTGAGATCCCTCAGTCTGTTCCATGCTTCTATGTCTCTGGATCTATTTTGTTCTTCAGTGTATTTCATTTATTACATCCCACATATAAGTGAGATCATGTGGTACTTGGCTTTCTCTGACTGGCTTATTTCACTTTTCTTTGTAACTCACACTTTGTTGAACTTGTACATTGGTTTTTGCAGCTTTTTTTTTTTTTTTTAGTTCAAAAGGATTGGGATAAACTTTTAGGCAGATTTCAGAGAAATTTGTTGGGTATTTCTTAATATCAGAGATGCTTTTTAACATTTCACCAATTGTCTTTTTATTTCTTTTAACTTAGTTTGAATTGGGATCCAGAAACATTCAAATAAGATCCATAGATTGCAATTGATTATCTCAAGTCTTTTAATTATAGATTCTTCCTCTTATCTATCTTGGGTCCCTTTATCCCCCTTACAATTTCCTTAGAAGAAACTGGGTCATTTGTTCTATAGAGTTTCCCACAGTCTGGATTTTGCTGATTGTATCCTCATGATGGTATTTTTTAGCATGGTTCCCTATTCCTTTCATTTTCTGTAAATTGTAGGTGAATTCAGGTTTGATTCCCAATCACCCACTGACCCTGAAACTACAGTAGGTGGTTTTGAGTATTTCTGACAGATTATCTAGTGAATGGTACATCAGAGTTGGGGGTGGGAGGCAGTATGAACCTCTGTCCAGAGGACAGGCAATAAGTAGGTACATTGTCTCTAAAGAATTGGAAAACAATAAGATAATTCAGTATAGATTAGTCTGCTTTATATTTTCACCTTATACAGGCAATTCTAAACAATGTCTGATAAAATATTTATTTTTACTATGGCAGATTTACACACATACACCACTTTACATAATATATAATTGTCTCTTTTTGAAATGGTATTGGCTATTAATGATCCACATCTGTTAATTCATTTGTGGTTGTTTTGTGATGGTGGTATTCTAATTATATCACTCCTTTCTGGAGTAAAGATAACATCTGTTTGGCTAACCTTAGTTACAAATGATATGGAAAAGGTAGGGATAAAAAGGTTGAATTCTTTTATTTACTATTTTCAAGATAAAGAGGTGGTTTTCTAGCATTCCCTAAAGGTGACCGAAGAGAGGGTTTGTGGGGCTTGTTTTTAGTTTCATTACAAACTCGTGGAACTAAACATATTTGATGTATTTTAATCCATTATGGGTATTATCCTTAGTCCTGTTCAAACTGTCCAGTCTTTGGCCAGTGGGAGTTTATTCAGGTTAATTCTTGAGTCTTTTTGATACATTCATAGTAGCCTTTGATAGCCTTCCTTCTTTTCTGGTCCCAGGCTCATCCTGTTTATTTCCTGCTCCAGACCTGGTATCAGCCATTTCTCTAAGTAGTTTTAGTTCCTTTTTGTTGAAAATTATATTTACAATTTGTTTGTTAGAGGAGTAGACATTTTACATGGGCCATGTTCATTAATTGTTTCTTATGCTATATGACTTACGCATTCATAACACTGTCCTTGACCTGAATGCTTTAGGATTGCCAGTGGAGCATATCACTTTTCCCCATTCTTTCCCTCTATTAATTTCATTCTTTAAAAGGAACACTGCAGGGCTTTTATTTCAAAATTCAAAAGGGTGAGGGAGAAAGTGAGCATAATTTCTGTGGTATCTTAGCCAACTCAAATGAAGTTTTAGTTAAATATTACTGATTCAAGCTGGGTGTGTTTGTGTTCTGGACTGTTTGCCTTAACAGTATTAGCATTTAAATTGTCACCACTAGACTCTATAGGTAATGCCCCGTTAAGATGCAGGGTGGGGGTGTAGTTCATAGCTCTATTGTACTATTATTTCAGTCTCTGCAACCTGCCACCTTAGTGTAGTAGCAGAGTGTTGGTTACATAGTGATGTCTTTCCCACCAAAGGATTGGAAACTGAAATTTAAAAAACCACAAAAACAAAATTGGAAATTAAAATGATAGAAAATTCGACTTTCTTTAAAGCCCAGTGACTCATTGAATTGAGATTTTATTTTACTTTTGATGTGAACTTACTACTTTGGTGATCCATGGTAGTCTTCTCTGAAGATACTTTTGTAGGGTATTCTTTTCAGAGAATTGCTGGAGCAGTTCAATTTGAAATTCTGGGGAGAAACTAGAAAGCCTAGGACAGCAAATTATACCTGGAGTCTGAAAACCCAGCTGAGTTTGTTTGTTTTTTCTTTCAGCATTTTATCGGTTGTGACAACACTATATTTGGAATTTGATTTGACACTTAATGTTGGAAACAGATTTAAACTTTATTTTACTTTTTTATCTCTGGATAAAGTTCAAGAGAATAAAGAAGTAAGAATTTGTCATTTGAGGTTAACAGATACTAATAGAAAAAAGTGCTAATAAATTTAAGAGCTAGGTTTGTTTTGTTTTCTCAAATTTTTTCTTTTTTTAAATATATCTTTATTGATTTCAGAGGAAAGGAAAGGAGAGGGAGAGAGAGAAAGAAACATCAGTGATGAGAGGGTCATTGATTGAGCCCACAACCGGGGCATGTGCCCTGACTAGGAATCGAACCCCAATCGCCTGGATCCCAGGTCGACGCTCAACCGCTGAGCCACGCTCGGCCGGGCTGCTTTCTCAAATTTAATCAAGCTAAATAATTTCAAAGTGAAACTACATAAACATTGGTTTTATGAGTTTTTTGTTTTTTAATTCTCATTTGAAGGTATTTTTTTCCATTGCTTTTCAGAGAGAGTGGAAGAGGAGGGGGGGGGGGGAACATCGATGTGAGAGAGACACATTGATTGGTTGACTCCTGCAAGTGCCCCGACCAGGGCCAGGGATCAAGCCTGCAACTGAGGCACTTGCCTTTGTATGGAATCGAACCAGGGACCCTTCAGTCCACAGGCCAACTCTCTAGCCACTGAGCCAAACCAGCTAGGACCTCACCTTTTTTTTTTTTTAAGTCCCACCTGCGGATAGATTTGTTGTTGTTTTTTAAATCGATTTTAGAGAGAGAGGAAGGGGTAGAGACAGAGAGAAACATTGATGTGGGGGAGAAACATCAATCATTTGCCTCTCATATATGCCCCTACCAGGGTTTGAACCCACAACCTTTTGGTGCATGGGATGATGTTCCAACCAACTGAGCCACTTGGCCAGAGCGCCCCACTTTTTAAAAAATGAAATATTTCACACATACAAAAAAGTATAAAGTATTCATATAATTTTTTTCTTTTATCTTTAAGTTTATTTTGAAGTAATTTTAAATATACAGAAAAGTTACTAAAATAGTACAAAGAACTTTAGCCTTTATTCAGATTCACTAAGTTTTTTTTAACCTTTTACTTGTGGTATATAATAAACTGTATATATTTAAAGTATACGTTTTGTATGTACCAGTGAAACCATTACCTCCAAGATTATATCACCTCCAAAAGTTTCCATGTGCTCCTTTGTAATCTCTCTCCTTTCCCCACTATCCCATTCCCAGGCAGTCACTGTTCTGCTTTCTATCACTATTGATTAATTTCCATTTCTAGAATTTTATATAAATGGAATCACATAATGTATGCCCTTTTTTCCTCTTGCATCTTTTACTCAGCATAATTATATTGAGATTCATTCATATATGAGTCATTAATTTTTAACATCTTGCCACATTTGCTTGTGTTATATATGTATATATATCATACAGTATACATTATATACATAGAATAAAATGCGTGTTTTGATAAATATACTACATATTTTTTTCCAGAACTATTTGAAAATAGTTGTATATATCATGCTCCTCTCCCTCTTAATATTTAATGTACATTTCCTAAGAACAAACATACTCTCTTAAATAATCAAATTATCAAATTTGTACAGTTGGTAAGTACAATTATCAAATTCAGGGAATTTAACATTGACACACTATTGTTATTTAATAGAGTACTTTAGCTTCTCGTTTTGTCAGTACCCTAATAATGTCCTGGAAACAGTACCTCACCTGATAGAGGATCCAATCCAGTATCATGTATTACATTTAGTTGCCATCCTTTAATCTGGAACAGTTCCTTAATATTTCTTTGTCTTTTGTGATATTTACATTTTTGAAGACTACAGACCACTTACTCAGTAGGTTTAGATTATGAATTTTTGGCTGGAATACTCCATAAGTGTTGTTCTCAGGTATCACATTTGTTTGCCTCTTAATGATGTTAATTTCGGTCATTTGGTTAAGATGCTGTCTGCCTGCCGCCACTAAATAGATAACTAGTTTTCCTGTTGTAATTAATAAATAATATGTGAAGGGAAATTTGAAGACTATAAATATGTCAACATAGTTTTGAAAGGCGTTTTCAAAATGATAAAGGTCAGACAGTAGACAGGTGAAGGCCTGGGGTAGGGTGGGAAATGGGTGGAGGAGGGCAAAGGAGGGGAAATGGGGGCATCTGTAATACTCTCAACAATAAAATAAATTTTAAAAAATGATAAAGTGTTTAAGCATAAAGTATTTGAAAGTCCTATTGAAACTGATCTTGGCTGATGACAATAACTTTTTTTTTTTTAAAACCGTGCCAAGAGGGCTGTAGTACAGTGTATATTCCATAGAGCAGATAAATGAACAATGCTAATATGTATTCTCTTTACAGGAACTGCTGAGCATCCTTGTAAAATTGAAGTGTGGGTGTTTTAGTCTTTAGTTATTTTCTTATTTACAATGGAATTGTTAGAAAAGGACTCTTGACTCCCTTTCTCTGCTTATATATAGACTGTCTTTTTATAGGTGGCAAGGGTTTGACCTGCTGGCAAATTTAAATCCTTTATACTGTCCATTTTCACAGCAAGAAATATTTTCTTTTACGGAACACACACACTGCAGTTTTGGGCTAATTTACAACATGGTATATATACCATAAAAGTTTATTGAGACACACTATAAATAGGCTCCAGGGATTTCTCTTCTGACCTCTCAATTTTACTCTTTCTAGATGCATCCTTGGGGAACTGTTCACAAAGAAGCCTATTTTTCAAGCCAATCTGGAACTGGCTCAGCTAGAACTGATCAGGTACAGCTGTGCATGTGCTCTGAGTGCCCAGGTGTGATAGGTAATCACATCTAATTTCTAACACTTTTCAGTCATTCTGCTAAGTGATTTTATGCTCCTTATGTCCAAGTAAGTTTCTCTTCACTCAATCAGGTTTACCATATTTTTTTATCATGTGTTACATATGTAAAGAAGTTGTTTTCCATGTACTTTTTAGGTCTCACTTTTCATGTTTTTTATTCTTCATATAAAAGCATTCCTTTTTCAGGATAGTTATTCCATTCTTAGGTTAGATTAAGATCAAATATACTCAGCACACATTTTATTGACCCTGTTTTGCAACAGTTCCCTTTCTCTGTTAAACTTTGGGATTCAGAGATAGGATAGGTCCCTGCCTTCAAAGAGCTCAGAGTTTAGTAAGTGATACAACATGTAAACAGATAACTATAAAATAGAACCCATAATAGAGGGTTTCAGGAAGGCCTGGGGTTGGGATAGAATTTGGGTGGTTTTATTCAATAAAATTAAAGGAAAGAATATAGCAGGCTAATGTGGACTTTTTATTTTTTATTTATTTTTTAAATATATCTTTATTGATTTCAAAGAGAGGGAGGGAGAGAGAGATAGAAACATCAGTGATGAGAGAGTCGTTATTGATCGGCTGCCTCCTGCACGCCCCTGCTGGGGATTGAGCCCGCAACCCGGGCATGTGCCCTGACCGGGAATTGAACCTCAGTCTCCTGGATACTAGGTTGATGCTCAACCACAGCCACTGAGCCATGCCTGGCTGGGCTAATGTAGACTTTTTAAAAGGTGGTATATAACTAATTGATAGGCAGTAAACTCAATTTTCCATCAAAATTTTTAGTCTTAGGTTCTCTTCTGCCAGTTTTTCTTATAGGGACATTATAGGACCAGCTCAGCCCTTTGTAGTTAACACTAACTGAACAGAACAAAATTGGTAATAAAAATCTCTGTGGAGGATTAAAAACATGTTTTACAGAACCAAATATGTGGATCATTTTAGACTGTTGAGCGTATTTTCTCTTTATTATCTTGTAACCAGTTCTTTCTGTCCTATTCCTTCTGTCCTTAAAGTAGTGAGGTCAGATTTTCCTTTTTTGCATGCCCTCTAAAATTTAATAAGCTCTTGGGAGTAATCATTTCTGCTTCTAGAATCTCCAGAATTCATGATGCTGACTCACTCACTTCCTTGTTCTTGCTTTCTGCTTTGTTTTCAGTCGACTCTGTGGTAGCCCTTGTCCAGCTGTGTGGCCGGATGTTATCAAGCTGCCTTACTTCAATACCATGAAACCGAAGAAGCAGTATAGAAGGCGTCTACGAGAAGAATTCTCTTTGTGAGTCTGGCAAAAATGTGCATCTATTTTCTGTGTTTGACTGGTGTTTGGTTTGGACTTGGCTTTTTCCTGGCTCAGGGAGTTAGTGTTGTCCCAATTTATTATGGCAACACACCATAGGAAAACATTTTACTTTTGAGCAAAGTTTTGTCTCAGCCTTTTGGTAATTTTCTCTTTTGAAATCTTTAGATGGTAGAAAACCATTTTATTTTGAACAATATATAAATTTTTTCAGTCTTTTTGATCTTCACAAGAGGGAATGTAATTGCTGGCTTCATGTTTTCTACCTGTTATAGCCCTTCTTAAATCCTGTGTGGAAGAAAATCTGCTTGCTTGTTTAGCCAGCTTCCAACTTCCTTTCCACAATTTTACGTGGAACTGGAAATTCAGAGACTTTTGACACAAGGTTACAGGTTTAAGAACTGTGCGGTCATTGAGAACTTGTTCTTTCTTTTCTTCCTTTTCACAGCATTCCTTCAGCAGCACTTGATTTGCTGGACCAGATGCTGACACTAGATCCTAGCAAACGTTGCACAGCTGAGCAGACCCTACAGAGTGACTTCCTTAAAGATGTCGACCCTAGCAAAATGGATCCTCCAGAGTAAGTGCTGGTGGCCATGTAGTGACCCTAACCCCCACACCACCCTCACCTCCATCCCCAGGCCTAGGAGATGAGAAACTCAAAATAATAGATTTTTAAGAGGAACTGCAAGTGGCCATGTCCCAGATGGAGAGGTATCCTCAAATAGTATTATGATTGATAAGAGGTTTTATTGCTTTATGGGTTTTTTAAAAAAAACATGGGATAGATTTAGATATGATATTTATTCTAATTTGACTCAAGCTATCTTCTTGTGTTCCTGGATCCCCAGCAGATTGCCCTATAAAACCTCTTTGAAGGTATTTCTTCTAGTTTTTGCTCTTAACTATCCCATCTGTTTAAATCCTTTATGTCTATGGTGACCATGTATATCCCACACTTGCAAGGACAGTCCTAATTTTAAATAGTTTTTATCACTGTAAGGTCATATGTCCTGAGTTTTGATGTAGAAATTGTTGCCTTTGAATGTGTCTGTCTTGCATTAGAGTTTTATGAATTTCCTATATTCTCTAAGATCCTCAGAGGTTCTACATTCACATCTCACATTCTAGCAAATAAGTCTCTTCACATTTATCACTGACAGCATTGTAGCTTTTATGTCATAGTTTTTGGCATTTCTTTTTTACAGAAAGACTGTATCCTAAAGAAATGAATAGGATGTTAGTACATGAGTAGGTAGTAACTACAAATCTGATTGTTCCAAAGAAATTTACTGCACTAGAATTTTGATATGTTGAATGTGGCTTGAAATACATAAAGCTTTTTACTGAAATTTAGGAACTCTTGTAATAGTGAGCTTTTTGGCTATGGTAATCTTTATTGTAGTAAGATTTAACCTACTGGGATTATTTGCATTATCATGGGAAAGTTGGAAATATATTAAATATATTAAAATATCCTAATGAACCCCACAAATGAAAATATCCAGTCATGGAAATTCAGTGGGCAGAAAGAAGAATGAACCGGTTTTTTGGTCTTTTCTTCGTAGACCAAATAACACAAAAATTGATTTTACACAGAGAGAATTTAATCATGATATACTTAATGTTGTTCCAAAATTTAAATCACCACTTTGCCTGGACTTTTTGTAGCTATTAACAAGTCAGTCATCTGTGTGCTATTTGTTCCCAACTGAAACTTGACCAAAAGTTCTCTTTTACTCCTATTATACCAAACAAGAACAGTTATAAGACTTAACTGTTTGGCAGGAATATGGGCATTTTATAGCAGGTGTGTCTCTGGTATTAGCAAGATCCTCATTTCTCATTGTAGAAATCTTTTGAACTTCTGGACTTTTATTTCCTCAGACTGTTATGTGCCATAATTCCTTTTACACTGCTACTATTTATTTACTAACTTCTCTGGTTATTTTTATGTTTTCCTTATCCTTGCCATTTCCTCTATTTACTCACTACCACATTCCCACACACATTTCCCCTTTGCTTTGTCTTTTTTCAGCCTCCCCCACTGGCAGGATTGCCATGAATTATGGAGTAAGAAACGGCGACGACAGCGACAAAGTGGTGTTGTGGTAGAAGAGCCACCTCCATCCAAAGCCTCTCGGAAAGAAACTACCTCAGGGACAAGTGCTGAGCCTGTGAAGAATAGCAGCCCAGCACCACCTCAGCCTGCTCCTGGCAAGGTGGAGCCTGGGGCTGGGGATGCGATAGGTCAGTGCTGGCACAGAGACTTTGTGCTTCTTTAAGCACATTTTGGCAGTTTTTGAAGGTTAAATGCAAGGATGTGTGTGTATGTTTTAATTTTTAGCCACTGGAGCATTAATAAAGAGGTCGGTGTTCTCATTATAGGGAAAAGGAAATAAACCAAGTTTTGTACATGTAGTCTAGAAAGCCTACAATAGATTATTTTCCATTCCTACAATAAGGAATACTATATCTCAATTAGATCTGTGGCATAAATTAGTGAATTAGGTGAGCCAAATTTAATTTAAGGTTAGTTCATCGTGGATCTCTAATACACATAATTTGGAGCCCTGTATATGTTAGATTTGATAGGACCTTAGAATCCAATCATGTTAAATAACAATTGCTAAATGTAATTAGTTCTATATACTGTTGTTTGATTTAAATATATTCAAAACTGAATAATAATGAACTGTTATAACAAAGTAGTTCTCTTGTGGTAACTACAATTTTTCTAAACTACAGATATTCTTTCCTTGGCTCACTTTCCTGTTCCTGTCCACCTACACCAGTGGTTTTCAATGCTGGCTGCACATTAGAATCATCCAGGAAGCTTTAAAAATAAACACCCCTGAACAATTGCCAGATCTCTAGGGATGAGGCCTAAGCCTAGTAATTCTGATATACAGTAAGGGTTGATAATCACTGACTTTGAAAAATAAAGGTAAAATGAAGTAACCTTTACTCACAATATAGAGATGTTGAGTTAGTCCATGTATTTTTATTTTTATTTTTAGAACTTTTTAAAAAATACATTTTTATTGATTTTAGAGAGAGGGGAAGGTAGAGGGAGAGAGAGATAGAAACATTGATTGGCTGCCTACTTCCCACCCCCTACTGGGGATTGAGCCTGAAACCCGAGCATGTGCCCTTACCAGGAATCGAATTGTGACCTTCTGGTTCATGGATCAGCACTAACCATTTAACAACACTGGCTGGGCAAGTCCATGTATTTTTAAGCAGTAATATAAAGAGTATCAAATTGTGGCCCTTCTGGGTAGCTCAGTTGGTTGGAGTGTCCTGATACACCAGGGTTGTGGGTTCCATCTCTGGTTGGGGCATGTGCAGGAATCAACCAATGAGTGCATAGATGGGTGGAGCAGTAGATCAATCAGTGTCTGTCTGTCTGTCTGTCTGTCTGTCTCTCTCTCTCTTTCTCTCTCTCTCTTTTCTCTCCTCTCTTCTCTCCCTCCCCCTGTTTTTCCCTTTCCCTCCCTTTCCCTCTCTCAAATAAAAATGAAAAAGAGTAACAAATTGTGTCATGACGATTTGAGGCATGAAAAATGATTCATTCAAAATGAAACTTCATTCATTGGATATTATAAGTTGCTATTGCCAAATGAAGAATGCAGAGGTCTTTGCCCTGCCTCATCCCCTTATATTGGCTTCACTCTCTCTCCACAGGCCTCGGTGACATCACACAGCAATTGAATCAAAGTGAATTGGCAGTATTATTGAACCTGCTGCAGAGCCAAACCGACCTGAGCATCCCTCAAATGGTACAGCTGCTTAACATCCACTCTAACCCTGAAATACAGCAGCAGCTGGAGGCCCTGAACCAATCTATCAGTGCCCTAACGGAAGCCACTTCCCAGCAGCAGGACTCAGAGCCCATGGCCCCAGAGGAGTCTGTGAAGGAGGCACTTCCTGCTCCAGTGGTCCAGCCTTCAGCAGAACAGAAGACCCCTGAAGCTTCAAGCACACCAGCTGACATGCAGAATATGTTGGCAGTTCTCTTGAGTCAGCTGATGAAAACCCAGGAGCCAGCAGGCAACCTGGAGGAAAACAACAGTGACAAGAACAGTGGGCTACAGGGGCCCCGAAGAACTCCTACAATGCCACAGGAGGAGGCAGCAGGTAAACAGACCGGTCATGAATCTCATTGAGCTCAGGTGCTGTTGATCCTCTTAAAAATCTCTTTAACATTTTCTTTTTCACATCAATGGCCTCGATTTCAGTTTTTCTGTAACCTAGTCTACAGGAGAACATACCAACAAGTGATGTATTTCTTGTCCGGCTTCTTTTATTTAAGTCTCAAAGCTTCTCAAAGCACCTTTCATATACTGATTGTTTTTCCATTTCTTAGGAGGTAGGTAAGTAAAGCCCCTGTGTTCTAACTCACAGAAACCACAACTATAGCTAGTGATGTATTTGAACTACTGTGTGTATGGTGTCCAACTAGTACTAGCACTTGAAAGTCTGCCTTCCAAACCATCAGATTGTGCAAATAGTCAGTGGTACTCTAGTGTAGTGGATGCTAGATACCGGAGCCTTGCCTGAAAGGTACATTCAAGAAAACCCTAATAAAATATCATTAATCTCCTAAAGAATAATTTGGGAATATTTCTAAATAGATAGTTAACACCATACATTCCCTTTTCAAAAACTAATAGCGTATAAAAATGATTGCTTTAAAATATATGTTCCTGAAAGAGACAATTGAATGGATTTTAGATTAGGATATGAGCATTATGAAGAAAAAATCTTACAAATGGAAATATGTTTGTTATACCTTGATGTCACATGACTACAGCATGCAATTTATTAGAAGGAAAAGAAGTTTTTCTCATCAATTCTGATTCACAGTCTGTTTGCAAAAAATTATCTAAAAGTGTTTTCAACTCCTTGAAAATTTTTGCTGTCCGTGAAGACCCCATGAATTGGGGAATGAGAAGAGGTACAAGGGTTGAAGAGATTCACTAACCTTCAACTTCAGGGTCCTGCATTCACATTTCATATGGGATGTTGCAGAAAGTATATGCCTTATTTCCATTGTTGTAGGGTCAAATATAGAAGCTATTTTTCATATGTAAAGCTTTTTAAAACTAGAAGGTAACATAAATAAAATTAACCCCCATGCTTTATAGATAGGGAAACTGCGATCCAGGAAGTTTAAATTAAAACAAAAATTAGCCTGTCTATGGTCCCACTGCTGGAACCATATTATTGGCAGAGCCAGAATTTAGAACTCATATACCCTTTTGATGTGTTTCTTATTTCACTTTGCTATTCTGTCATCCGATTTCAGTTGGCTCTAGGACATGGAATAACAGAGAAAGCTAATCTAGAATTAAAGCAGGCCTCTTTGTATCATCTCTCATACCACCACCACCACCCCAACAAAATCGACTATAATCAAAATTCCTGAAAGAAGTGGTTCAAATTAAATAGCATAGTGGTTGAAAGAAATTCACTCAATAATTGAGCCAACAAGCTGTCGGCCAAATGATGAAACTGAACTAAAATCAAGGCCTGGCCTATGGCCAAAAATTGTTGGATTTACTTTTCAGAGGAGAGTAAAGATGCCACACCCAATTATTATAGTCACCCCTGGATTAACCAGTTGGTGTCTCCTGTGTTTCTCCCATGCTGCCTCTTTCTGCCATTTTACTGTTCATCAGCACTTCCACCAGAGGGCAGACTAAATAAGCCAAAGAAGGTGAAAATCACTTTGGCTACTGTTGAGCTACTCTATACTTGTTGGGAAAGGGTTATGGTTGGAAACTGATGAGTCAAATAAAGTTTTTAAGTTACTTGTACATTTCATTAACACCTCCCTCCATTAGTACAGACTGTTAAGGATTGGCAATATTGTTAACACTAAATCTTACAACAGTATGATGTTTTAAATGTGATCTTTATTTTTCATTCCTTTAAGGAGTTTTATTAGCCCTGGCCGGGTGGCTCAGTTGGTTGGAGCATCGTCCCGTACACCAAAAGGTCCTGGGTTCAATTCCCGGTCAGGGCACATACCTAGGTTGCAGGTTTGATCCCCTGGTGGGGCGTGTACGGGAGACAACTGTTCAATGTTTCTCTTTCTCTCTCTCTCTCTCTCCCCTCCCCCCTTCCTCTCTAAAATCAATGAAAGCATGTCCTTGGGTGAGGATTAAAAACAAAAAGTTTTATTAACCTTACTTTAATAGTTTTTTACAATTCATCTGCTTTTACTACTTTGAAATAGTTGTCATCCTCTCATACATGTGAAAGATTTTACGCTAAAGAATTAGTTCTATTAAAACAACTAGGCTAGTTACATAAAAGACAAAGTTTAAATGTGAAAAGCAGTATACCTGGAAGAGTGTAAATTAGTTTTGCCCACTTTTGCAGTTGGATATTTTTAAAGTTGTTTTCCCTCAGCATTAAAAAACAACAACAGCAACCTGGTGTTCCATTTCATGTATTGTCCAAAAAATACTTTAAAAAAAATAATTGGTACTGTGAAGTCTTTATGTAGCGAGATATGTATCACTGACAGCAAAAACTTTAAGTCTGTAGACATTTGTATGTAGTTCAGTTAGCTCTCCCTTTTCAGGATATCTACTTTTCAGGTTGTGAATTTTCCATAGCTAATTTTTTGTCCTTAAATTCATTTTTCCTTACCATCTAGTCAACCATCCAGTTTGTCAACAAGTTACTTGGGCAGGTACTGTATATAGGGTGACCAAGTTGTCCCTGTACAATCCTGGTTTAAAAGTGAAAGTTGGCAATTTAGGAATCCTCTCAGTCCTAGGTAAATTGGGACTATTGGTCACTCTAGTATGTTAGATATAGCATCTGACTTCATCCTTCCACTGCATAACTACAATTTTGTAGTGTTTTCAGAGTGCTTTGATCTGCACGCTAAGGGAATGCATACTTACTTTATTGGTTATCTTTGCAAAATATAATTGTGGTAAATATGCTACCTTAATACCTAATTATAACTAAAAACTACTTTTTGCTTGTCTGAGTAATGACTTTATATTACTAGCTCAGATAAATAAGAATTGACTATATAAACATTTCAAAATATGCTTTCGTAGGGGACAGAAAAAATGATCATTTGGAAGATATCCCAAAACATTAAGCCTTTTCTTCAGCAGGGTGACTTCCAACTCTCTAAATGCACTGTTTTGACTGTACTTGGTTTTATATGTTCTCAAACTAATGCCATTTTACATCTCTACTCTGCTGTCTTGGCAGGAGTTCATTTTCAGACAATGATTGGCATGCTTGGGCAAATTTAGCCAGCAGTGGGGGAAAAAGTCTGGGGAGTGGTTTGAAAAAGACAAAGATCTTTGGAAAGACAGAGTGTAGGATTAGTTTAATACATTTCTGAATACTCAGTTCTTGTTGCTATCTCCAAGATAAACAGATGTTTATCAACAGCTCATTTTGCATGACATTGCTATAGTAATTTTTCTCATAGCATGGAAAAAATGCAGGAGGTTGGAAAACAAAAAAGAAAATTATAGATTATTTTAGTCTTTATAATTGCTGTAACATAGGAAGCTGAATGACAGTATGGTGGTTAATATTCCATTCTTCAGAATGTGGTTATGGGGAGAGGGACTGAAGTTTGGAGAATCAAGTGTATATTTATACATGATGGTAATGAAAGGTTTTTTACTTTTATTTCATCTCTCTTGTATGTTCTTTAAGTTCTATTTCAGGTGTTAACCTTATTATTATTAAACATTCTGTAAAATGTGTTAGCTAATTCCATGCAAGGTCTCCTTTTGTACAGCAAGATTATGTCCTAGAAATGTGACCACAGCATGTGTATTGTTCCCTCTCATCTTCCTTCTTTCTCCTTTATTTTCATTAATGTTTTGATCCAACAGCAAAAAGGGGCGGGAAGGCTGCCAACAGCCTACATATTAGAACAGTTCCTTAAGGAAGGAAATGGAGGAAATCTCAGACAAAATCAGAACAATATTTGAAACATATGATCTTTTTACACCAGCTGTTAGATCCAGAATGCAACTGTTTTGCTTTTAATCACTTGATTTTATTTATAAATTGAAATTTCCTGATCCCAAGATTTTATTCTTTATATATAATTTGGTTACTTGTATTGATATATGTTTATGTTGGGCAGTGTATGTGTGTGTGTGTGTGTGTGTGTGTGTGTTTATAATCACATGTGATTTTTAAGATGGTGTTTAAAAGAAGTAACCCTTCCACAGCATGTCCTCCTCACATTCTTCCACCAGAGAAGAGGCCCCCTGAGCCCCCCGGACCTCCACCGCCGCCACCTCCACCCCCTCTGGTTGAAGGCGATCTTTCCAGCGCCCCCCAGGAGTTGAACCCAGCCGTGACAGCCGCCTTGCTGCAACTTTTATCCCAGCCTGAAGCAGAGCCTCCTGGCCACCTGCCACATGAGCACCAGGCCTTGAGACCAATGGAATACTCCACCCGACCCCATTCCAACAGGACTTATGGAAACACTGATGGGCCTGAAACAGGGTTCAGTGCCACTGACACTGATGAACGCAACTCTGGTCCAGCCTTGACAGAATCCTTGGCCCAGACCCTGGTGAAGAACAGGACCTTCTCAGGCTCTGTGAGCCACCTTGGGGAGTCCAGCAGTTACCAGGGTACAGGGTCAGTGCAGTTTCCAGGGGACCAGGACCTCCGTTTTGCCAGGGTCCCCTTAGCATTACACTCAGTGGTCGGGCAACCATTCCTGAAGGCTGAGGGAAGCAGCAACTCTGTGGCACATGCAGAGACCAAATTGCAAAACTATGGGGAGCTGGGGCCAGGAACCAGTGGAGCCAGCAGCTCAGGAGCAGGCCTTAACTGGGGGGGCCCAGCTCAGTCTTCTGCTTATGGAAAACTCTATCGGGGGCCTACAAGAGTCCCGCCAAGAGGGGGAAGAGGGAGAGGAGTTCCTTACTAACCCAGAGACTTCAGTGTCCTGAAAGATTACTTCCCTGTCCATCTTCTATCCAGTCCTCTGAACCTTTAATGAAATCATTTGCCAGAGCGAGGTAATCATCTGCATTTGGCTACTTCAAAGCTATCCATTGTATTCCTTGCTCACTTGCTACTAAGCAGGCGACATGATGTTGGCAGCATTTCCCCCCGGATGGGTT